AGATTTTTGTGGCCTGACAAATATTTCCAAATCTATCAGGGTTTAAAGATTTGCAATTTTTTTGATGTCTTTAGATATGGCGCACCATAAAAAATTATTTTCCTTACTGCCAAATTTAGATATGATGGTCGAGTATTAGTCTAAATTTATAACGATGATCAAAAACTAGTCTAAATTTAGCAATGATCCTAGCGCTCAAATTTCTCATGAGCAAAGTACATGTTTTAAAAAAGAATAGAACTCTAAATTAATTAATAACAACTTCATTGCACTTTAATTGCGACGTAACATTCTAACCGCGATGCTAATTTCTAAATAAAGTCAACCAATTTCGATGTTATACAAATAAATGTAAATAAATACAGTGTGTTTCAAAAAAAACCGGAAAATTTTATGTGAGCTAAAAACATGTATAGCTTCCCAAAATTAAATCTAATTCATGCTTTATAAAAAATCAAAATAAACTTATGTTTCGAAATTAAATATTGAGATCTTCCATAACTGATAATCTTTTTTGCCTGTTAAAAAATTAACTATAACATGCCTACTTCGAGACAAGAAACACAACGTCAAGCCATATTACATTTATGGAATAATGGTATATGTGAGACCAAGGAAATAAACAAAAGAACGAATATACTCCTTTCTACCATCTATGATAATATAAAAAAATTAAAAACAGCCGGTAATTTGAATCATGCTAGAGGAAATGGCCATCAAAAAAAATTTACTGCGGATGCATCAAGAGCTTTGGGACAATATATACGCAGAGATACATCAGTTTCGACTAGAACATTGGCAACAAAGTTATTAATAAACCATGTACAAGTGTCTTATTCAACCATTCTTAGACACATATATGAAAAGGGTTATAAAAAAGCTTTGCCAATAGCTACGCCAATGTTGACAGCTGTTCACAAAGAAAACTGTGTACAATGGGCACAACAACATCTTAATGACGATTGGAATAAAACATTTTTTACTGATAAAACGTCATTTTTATTATTCAGGGATACTGTAGAACGTTGGTATAAGAACAAAAGGCCAGTTCGAAGAATGCCAAAAGATCGTACCAAAATTCACGCGTGGGGCGGTTTTTGTGTAGAAGGTAAAACAAGCCTTTTTTGTTTTAAACAAATCATGGATGCTTCATTTTATGTAGAAATACTTAGCGGGCACATTACACAAATTGAAGAAATGCTTGGGGATGAATGGAGATTTCAGCAAGACAATGACCCCAAGCATACAAGTCGCCTTGCAAAGGTCTTTTCTTGCAGAAAATGTCCTGAATGTTATAAATTGGCCATCTAATAGCCCAGATTTGAACCCCATTGAAAATTTATGGAGTATCGTTAAAACAAACGTTTAGAGAAGGATGCCACGAAATTGTGAAGAATTAGAACGATTTATGGTAGAGGAATGGCAAAATATTCCGCATAATGTCCTAATCAATTTAGAAAATTCTATGCAAAATCAATGTGAGCTCGTAATACAAAAAAATGGTAAACGAATACCATATTAAAATTTTTTTAATAAAGTCAACTGTTTTTAAGCTTTTAAAAGAGATATTTTTCGCATCATTCAATATGACTGTTGTGTTGTAGTGACAAAATTAACAATTCCGGTTTTTTTTTGAAACACACTGTATGAATAAAATAAAATAAGAAATAAATTATAAGGAATAAATATAAAAATAAAGTAAAATAAAGTAAAAATAGAAATAAAAAATTTGGTTCGGAATTAGGGTATTTCGACTAAAAAATTAGCATTTAATCCTAATTCTGGTAACATATGTGAAATTGAAATTATGTGAATTGAAATATTATGGAGTGGGGTGAAATTCTGATTGGCTAATTTGAATTTCATATATGTAAATTTGAATTTCACACATGTAAATTGTGAATTCACATAATTTCATTTTCATATACAACAGTTCCAAATAGTGCATAGTGAAGATATATGAGGTGTTTTTCATGTGAACTTGAGATTTTATATGTATCAAAATTTATGGTTTTGCAAGCATTGCAAAATCAAATTTGAAATTGATAACATGTCATTAAAAGTTCATGATATGATTGATTATTAAAGTTGAAAATAAACAGATTTATTCATAAAAAATAGCAGAAAAAAGGTGATAATACATTATGACTTATAAATTCTACATCACATATCTATATTAGATTTATATAATAGATTATATCCACAAGAACAATTAACAAGAATTTAATTGCCATACATTAATCTTCCTCTGGAAATTTTAATCTTTTCAATGCCTTTTCTGGTATACCTGTTTCCCTTTTTGCATCTTCAAGGGTTTTAAATGGTCGCTTTTTGAGAATTGTGCCCACTTGACTTACACCAATGCCATCAATTGTCATGAGCTCTGTATAAGTTGCAGTATTTATATTCAATGGACCTACAATAGCATAAACATGTGCTCTACCAGCAAATGGCCCAAAGTATTCTTTCCATTTGAGGCCATCCACAATCCCAGAGTTCATTGGAAGTTCAAAATTGCAGTTTTGGGCAGTTGTAAAAAGAATAAAAAAATCTTTATCACATGCAGATTTGTTTCGTTCATTTTGATAATCATTCAAAGAAAGTGATTTTTTTTTTTCCACCTTTTAGCTTGATGAACTTCATTTGGATTATTATATTTTGATTGGTCTAATGCAAGAAAAGAATCACCATATGGTGCAGATTGTGCATTTATGATACAGTGTTTACCTTCCCAAACATTGACACATGTACCTTCACATTCAATATCCATTCTTTTATCATAAGTAGCAAAATTTGTATTCACATGATGAATAGCACATTCCAATTTTAGATGATGGTTCTTGAATTTGAAATCATCATTCAAATGTAGACGTGCTCCAGCATGAATTTCTGAAACTGTTGTTAACTCATTTTCACATAGTACCTTAGATTTTAATGAATGAAAATTTGCAATGAAATGTTCAAAATGATTCCAAAACTGAGATCCCACTGGCAACCTCCAATCAGATACTGAGCTGTGCTCTCTGTAATCACAGAATTGCCAGTCTTTAAGTAATGGATCTCCATTTTTTGCAGCTTGCTGTGCCATTATCCAGACCCAAATGTATGTTGCTTCAAAATATCCCTCAACACTATTTCCTATTCTTTCAAATCAAATTAATCCAGCATAAACAAAGGAGTCTGGTAATTTGTCTGTATTGGGGACACATTTGTTTTGATCCAAACGCTTTCTGGTCAATATTAACCATGCAATAAATAGTCTGTGTTTCTAAAGCAGTTATATTGAAAGCATCTTCATAATGATGAATAATATTAGAACATAAACAATGCATCAAATTATCAATGTTGCAATCATTGATATTTGTATCTCTCAATGTTTCTGCAAGCACTTCATGTCCTCCACAATCATCCACAAGCAATTTAATGATGTGATTGTCCTGTTGAAAAACTGGTACAACAATGTCATTCTGAAGGGTAGTTGGAGGTTGATGAAATTCTGCAGGCCATCAACAACTAAAACAACTGATGTCTTTTTCTCATACCTGGCTATCAATCGAAGTACCTCCCATGGGGTTGGAGCCTCATAAGTATAAATAAAATGTATAAAATCCTCAAAATCAGGAAAAAGTTGCCAAAACATTCGAATTCCAACAGCTAAAATACCAATTGACTCAACACTCCTAGAGAAGCTGATGCCATTTTCTAAGCTAACATTAAATACCCAAGCATCTTGAATTTTTTCCTTTAGTTTCAAATCCTTTGAACAATTCAAACATTTGATTAATGTATTATGAAATTCAGATGCATTCCTGGATTTTCCAGTGCCAGCACCAGAGAAAAAAAGATAAATCGGCCTATTTATTTTGTCATTCTCACCATTACAGAAATGGAAGTGATGCTTTTCAGTTTCTTCTTGTAAGGTGTCTTTCAAATGTGGATCTAGTTGATATTGCCATTTCAAACCAGAAGAGGTGACTAAAGACTTTGGTTTAATGTAAGGTAAGCCTAGTGGATAAATGGTATGTGCAGTCAGCTTCAATGTGAGAAGGGCAAATTTCTGGCAAGAATTGTTAAATAAATACCTTCAGGAAAAGCATCAGTGATTTTTGTTTTGCTGTAAATTGTTGGTACTGATGTATTATTAAAAAAAATATAACACAACATATCAAAACAGTATTAATTCTTAAAGTTTACAAGCTAATCAAAATAACAAATAGAATATAAAATGGATTACATTGTCTAACTAGATAATGAAAAAGATTAATTCCCAAAATGAATAATGATCAATAACAACAGAAAAAAGGGGAGAAAAAAAAGAGCACAAGTTAGTTACATTTCACAAATGTAAATATTCATCATAAAAATTGACTTACCTGATTCTTCTTTAATGGACAAAAGATGAACAGGAAAGTTAAAAAGTTGATTCAGGATAAAATTAAAATATATGATTTCCCATTTGAATAAATAAAATAAAAAAAATTGAGTGGGATAAATGGAAAATAATCTTTACATAATTTGTTCATTACCTTTTTCTTCAAATTCTACTAAAATTTTTTGTAAATGCTCCACATGTTTACACATTCCTTCAACTTTTCTTCCAACTCCTCCTTCTTGCCTCCATAATCCTCCTTCTCTCTTCCCCTCTTCAGATTGTTCAACTTCTCTTCCCACTTCACCCTCCACCGCCTCAACTCTTAATCAGCCTTTCTATGCTCTTCAAGTGCAATGTTGAATTGGTTTTTAATTTCGTCAGAAATTGTCACCATTGTTAAAAAAAAAGATTATAGAAAATTTTTTTTTATTATTTATTGATTTAGATCGATTAATTGTTTCTATAAATAATTTGGACCAATGATAAATTAGTGGGCACATGACTTGTACTTTTTACAAAAGAAATTATTTTTATTTTAATTCAATTGATAATAGAAAAATACATAAATAATTTATAAAAATATAAGTTAGAGAATTGTCAGAGCAAGGAAAATACTCGGACCCAAAGCCATTTGTAAGTATTACCTATTCTTTGGACACTCTGACAAAAATCTAACTTTCACTATTACTACTATTTTATTATTATCATTAATATTTGTATTTTCTTCATTTTCATTATCTTCTTCAACTTCACTCTCAACTTCTTTCTTTTTTCTTTGTTGACCCATTCCTGAATTGCTTCTATCATTTTCCTTCTAGGATTTGTTTTTCATTGACGGAAGTTTTTTATTGTGGAAGTAGCAACACCTTTTCCTTCTCCAAGTAATTCATGACAAATTTCAATGGCCATTTCACTAAATGAAAAATCAGGATTCAGTTCAGTCTTTTGTCAAATAATTGTTTGAAATCCTTTCATAAATTTTCAATCTCTTGTGAATATTTTTTATCACCAGTAATTTATTTTTGAATTGGCTTTTTTTTAGTTCTATTTTATCAAATTTTTGTTCAATTTTTTGATTTATAATATAGAGTTGATTTTTATAAGTTTTATAATGAAGTTAGATTCCAAGCAAGAATCCAATCAATAACCCACATAAGAGTTCATTATTGAAAGTGAGCATTTTTTAAAATGTTATTATGGATGAAAATTTGTAAATATTTATTGATTATTTTTTTAATTGTGTTTAACAATTATTAAAGAATTTGTTATATTTGATTTTTTTTATCTGGATAATAAGTGATCTGATGATGTTTTTATAATGATCCAACATAAGGCAGGATTGTTTACCTTGTTTCAATACCAATCAGAGAAAAACAAAGTTTCATAGACATACTCTTGAATGTAAAATTTGTTAAAACAACTCAAACAATGTTTTTTTATTGATAAGCAATGCAATGTGATGATTGTTAATTACATTTGCATAAAGGAGAATTTCTTTGTCAAAAAAAATAGATCTGCAATAATCAGATTCATTGCATTTTATTTTCCTTCTTTCAAAGATTTCTGCTTTTTGTTAGGTAATAATGCATCATCATGATGCTTTCTTTTTCTAACATTTATTATTTTTCTTTCTTCTTGGTAAATTTCATAAATAATCTTTTCTTTCCTTAAATAAGCTTCCAGTTTCTGAGTATCATTTATTTTGAAAATATAAGAAGCAATTTTTTCACCTTGTTCCTTCTTCAAAATACTTCTGATAGTACTATAATTCTTTGGTTCCATAGTAGACCTAATGTAAATTAGCTTCATATTAATTATTTTTATAGGGGATAGTTCTATATATCACTTAACAAATGAGACATTATAAAACTGTTAATTATTATTATGATCACATTACAAATGACTAAATTTTGATCCCTGAAATTCTTGGTAATACCAATGTTCACTTTGTCTGGTTTTGTTGCAGTATGCCCCATATAATCTCTTAAATTTCCTTCTTGATAATGATTAAGAACCATTGCATAATTTCCATTTTCTGGGAATTTAGTTATACCATAACATTGAACAATTGAGGTTGTTTTAATTTTACAATAATTCAATGCCTGAAATTAATTATAAAATAAATAAATTAATTTAAAATAAATGGTTGATTTTAAATAAGATCAATTACCTCATCAAAAAATGCTTTTCCTGGATTACTTGAATTATTTAATGATTTTAATATGACACTTTGAGCTCCAAAACAATTAAACTCCTTTTTATTTTCATCATAATCATCAATAGCTCATCTTGTCCATGTAGCAGTATAAATAGAACTGAATCCACCTTCTGTTAACTTTTCTACATCATAAAATTGCTCATAAGGTATCCATTCTATAATTTTACCTGGAAGAGATGAAAGCTGTTGACATTTTTGAATGAAACTATCAATTATCTCATTGTCAGATGTCCAAGTACTAAAAAGGCTCTGTAAGTGTAGACTAATACACTTTTCACAATATTTATCAGAGTATCTTGTTGTTTTACAATTATTGCATTCTCTTGGTTTATGAATTGCATTTTTTAATTCGAAATTATAAATAAACCTTTCTCTACAAAATTCCTTTTCATTTTCTAATAGTTTTTGGTTTTCTTTGACTAATTGTAAAAAATAACTTTTTTCACCTTCAAGGTCAGAATCAGAAGCAGTTGGAAAGGCAGAATAAGCAATACTAGTCATTTCATTACAACTTTTATGTGCTAATTCTCTTCTGTCTTGTGTTAATAACTTTTCAAAGGACATTTTAACTTTTTAATATTTATTTTAAAATTTCTTTTTTGTGATATTTTTGCAAATCAAAATTTACCCAATCATAATTTCACCTTCATTTGATGCCTTGGATTTCCTTAATTAATATATACAATATAAATGAGTGAATAAAAAAAAAGTAAATCCGAATGCAAATTTCATAAAATCTTTTACTCGTTTTTTAGATTGTTTCATTTAAAATACTTTGATTTCGAATTCAGTTAAAAACTTTATATTGTCCATCCACTCCATCCTCAGTTCTCAGTCTTTAAATGACGGACTAATTTTCAAAGCAAAAAAAAAGTAATCAATCGCCCAGAATACAACAATACAATCAACTTCAAGGAGAATTTATTAAAAAACAAACAATATTATGACAAATTCAAGGTCCTAGATAGACTCACCTCAATTGTTATTGAACTCCTGATTCTTTTCGAATTTCATCAATATTTTCACTCACCTCTCCATAGACATCTATTTTTTTTAAAGAGCGCACTGAAAATAAAAACACTACCACCTTTTTGAAATTTATTTTATTTCATGTAAAGTTCTCCCAAGGCTACTAGAAACCATTTATATCAGACTTTATCAATTGTCAGAAAATGAGTATGAATTCCATGTTTTTGCATTTGAACAGTCCTTTTGTTTCTTTAAGCAGAAAATCAGAACCAGAAGAGTTGATCAGAAACTAAAGTCATATTCATATCTGAATTACGAATTATTAATAAAAGTTTTAATTTCTTACAAGTAATAGTAATATATTTCCCTGGTTTAACAAGTGTCTGCAATAAAACACCAAGAAAAGAAAAAGAATAGCCATGCAAATATGGGTCACAATTTGTAATCAGGCCTCATTCTGCAGTTCCTTATCAGTGTGTATAGCGCCACAACATGACTGTTGACAAAAGCAGAGTTACGATAGCAATGTTGACTTGACATGCTGAGAGACAAGTATTTATAACATCATGGCTTAAAGTATACAACAGTCAACAAATTATGATAGAATTAAAGAGAAATTGATTAATCAGATACCACCAAATGGATTGACAATGAAAATGTTTTTACGTATTTTTTTTTGCTATTAATATAAAAAAAATTAATTTCCTCTCATCAATTCAACTTCTCCCTTCTCTATAATCGGCTCCGTTTTATTAATTAGTTATCAGAAAATAAACACAATTTAATATTGATGATTTATCTAACGCTTATAAAAAACTAGCACAACAAACCTAGTTGAAGTAAAGTAAAAAGCGGTCGAAGAAGAAGAATTAAAATGAGTGGCGGAAATGGGTGTGATAGAAAAGAAAGTATTCTAAGAGATGAAGGTGAAGACAAATATGAATACGAAGGTTGATGAGATGAAGATGGATATTAGACATTGAATCTCCAAATAAAGCAAGCAATACGATATCCGCAATAGTAAAAATTTATCTTACCAGATATGATCAAATTTTATCAAGGATGATGTTCCCCGGCAGAACTTTCTCTGAAATGAGTGAACTGTTAGCAAAAATATGGGGTGCTGGAAATTGTTTTTTTTGCACATTAACAATAATAATAATAACATGAATAATAATAAATAATAGTAACCAATAAAACAAAAATTAATTTATTGATTTTATAATTAAAGCTTAAAAGTACGACAAAGCCCAATTTTCATCCAATTAAAAAGTTACTAGTCTAGCAATGACCCTGATTTTGACATTTTGGTATCTTCTATTCCTCTGTTATCAGAAGATTTAAAGCTGATAAATTTAAATTTAAATTTATTTTGTAGATCAATCTTTATTATATATAAAAACTATCATTTAATAGATTTTGCCCACCTATTTTAAATATTAAAATTATCATCAATCATAAATTAATCATCAAATCCTTTAAAAAAACTAGGAATCCAATATTCGTACGGATTTGCATGATCGTCAATCCAACAAAGACCGTCAGCAAGTAATGTATCCTGTTCATTCATTAATTAAAACATTAAATATTTATTCACGCTTAATATATATATATATTACATATTATATTTTCACTTACAATTGCATCATCGATTCTTTCCATTCTCCATCCTAATTCTATCCTAATTAAATCTTTGGTAACAAAACCTCTCGACTTATTAAATCATATGTATGGATATTTTAAATATAATCATATTAATATTAATATATAGATATTATATATTTCTTTCTTTCAATACCCACATACATATATATAAACAAGTACCTGCGCTAATAATAATATATCAGATTGATCTTTATTGAGTTCACGAGGAACAGATCTAACCATTTTTTGAACACCAATTTGTAAAACTTCAAATCCGCTTCCTAATGGTTTGAGTGTCTTTATGGATCGTATAATATCATCTCTAATTCAACAAGGCATAATATTTAGAGTTCATTATTAATTTAATTTCCTATATATCCATCCACACACACACATATATATATGTAAAACTAATTTGTAATAATAAATACCTACTCACTAATCTCCTGATTGTTATTACCATTGTTATTATTTTTGCCAGAATTACCACCGCGCATCTTAATTAAATGTCTTTTCAATTCTCCTAATTCAATCAATCCACCATTTCTACCTTTAGTAGACAAACAAACTTCGATTATTTGTATAGCTAATTCATAATAAAAATCTCCTACTCCTAAAAGTTCTGCCCAAAATCCTTTATTGGCTAAATTTTAAAAAATTATGAATATATGTAAATATCTATAATATCTACAGATTTATATATATGTGTGTGTGGAATATGTTACTAACAAGCAAGAGGATCAACTCCGATATTAGTACACATTTTTTGAAAATGTGTTCTAAACAAAGGATCTTTACGGATATCTTTACGATATTTTCTTGCAAATTCTTCAAGATTTGTTTTAAACAATTGAAGTTGTTGTTTCAACTATACAACGTTAACCACCATCAATATTTATTAGCCATCGTTCCTAATTCTTATAAATCAATACATATCTATTAAAAAGGAAATTGTTGATGAATATACCTGCGACATTTGAGCTTCTGCAATTGTGATTCCAACCTTTTGAAATTGGTCCTATTTTTAACGTTATAAATCAATACTTGTCTGATTATATATATATATATATTCAATCTTTGAAAATTAAAACACATAATTAATAGATATTTTACATTGGTAAATTGGTGTCTATGTATCCCCGAAAGGCCAACTCCTCGACCTCTCACCATTTTGATAATTTTGATTTAAAATTTTTGGTGTTTTAAATGAATGAGAGAATTCTTTCTCTTTATTAAAATCACGTGAAACCAACATAATATTTAATTTGAAGTGCATGAATTAAATGGGGGTAGACAATTTAGGGGATCAAAGTGATTGAAATCTTCCCATATTAATTTAGAGCCGCAAGAGTAGGCGTACAGACTGACAGATTTAGAAGTTTTTGGTATTATGTGTACCAATAAAAAAGTTTCAGTAATTTCTTTTTTGTTCACCTAAAAATTTTAATTTATTTTCAAGTCGTTTGCATTGGAATCTGGAAAAAAGTGAAAATTCATCAACGCTACTGTTACTGTTATTTTATAAAACCTTTAATTTATTTTCAAGTCGTTGCTTAATCACTGATTTGAATATATGTTCCAGCTTTGATTACATCCATAAAGAAAAATGTTATAACAAATATGACGATTTTAGTCGAATATACACAAAAATGTGTACAGGCGGTACTGTTTTTTTACTATATAGTGATATGTAATAGCAAAAAATTGGTATTTTGCATAATCATAATTTTTAAATAAATAATTTTCAGATACTTGAAATTAATTATGAATTGATCCGAGCATGTATTGAATATCAAAAACAAGGATTGGTGAACACACAAGATATGACTCTGTATGGATTTTCGCTTTTTTTATTTTATTTTATTTTTTTTAAATTTTTTCCAATTAATATTTATCATTTTTTTATTAAATGATCAATATAGATATAAAGCACGTCTTCGATCAAACTTATCATATCTTGCCACCATAGCCGTTGAACTCAATGGAAATGTTTCTGGAAATGTAATGATTTAAATTTAATGCTGTCATGTCATTTGCAATGGTGATCCCGAAGTTTATTTATTCATTCACAATTTTTTATTTCTAAATAGATAATAAAATCGGTAAATCTTCCAGATTTAACCCCATTACCTATTCCACGTGGCTTAGGTGGACAAAAACTTAATATTCTTATTCAACAAGCTGATCATATTTTCTCTAGTCATAAAAAAATTCATTTAATAAATTCAATTAATAACCATAACACAAATACGAACAATATTATTAATAATAACAATAACAATAGCAATAATAACAATGTTGTCAATTCACCATCATCATCGGTACAACCATATAAATTAAGTCCAAACAGTAATAATAATAATAATAATAATAATGCTAATGTCATTAATACAATGTTATCTAATCAACAACTTCAATTATACCTAAAACGACAGCAACAACAAAAACTTTTACAACAACAACAACAAGCGTTTCAACAGCCCCAAAATAATCTTCAAAATTCCTTATTATCTAATTTAGCTATAGCGCAACAATTTCAGCAAAATCAATCTACACAACAGCAACAACAAAATATTGATAATATGACAGATTATAATGCTACCATGATTGAAGTTGCGGCGGCAGCAGCTACACCAAATCGAGATAATAATCCATATAATATATTAAGACCTTTAGTTGGTATACCAATGAACAATAATACTATTTCTAACAATAATAATAATATTAATAATAATAATGACGGAGGAAATGTTGTTAGTGGACAAACAAGAATAATTCCATCATTGATGACTGGTATGAGTGATCAATATGCAGAAACAGGAGTGGTCACAGCGGCATCACTTCAACAAAAACAATTCCAACATTTACAAAATGTGGGATTTCCTACAGGATTTATTAACACCACAGATGCTGTTACAAATACAGGATTCAATCCTACAAATGCCTATCATATGGCGAGATATCCAAGTACAAATAATGATGGTATTGGTAGCAGTAATGATAATAATAACAATAATCCATTGGATGTAATGGGTACAATATCAAGTAATGTTTTAGCTGCTGCTGGCGGTAGTGGTGATGGTAGTGTCGTAGGTATAGGTGTGGGTGGTAGTGGTAACAATATGATTGCTGGAAATCTTTTAGTAAACAATAATAATTTGGAAAACGATGTTATTGGAATTAATGAATTGACAGCTGCTAATGGATTTGTAAATAATGGAATTGCGAGCGGTACAATAGGATTGCCAAACATGCTGAATCATGAAAATGAAATTTAAACGGGACTTGGGTTATAATTCTTATTATCATTGTTTTATTATATTTAAATTGGGTACATTCACAAATTGCTTAGATTGGTTCAACAAAATTTTAGATCGAATCTTGGCAATTTGTAAATACAACCATTTGATTTGTTTTTATAGGTAGGATTAAAAAATAAAATTTTCTTTCCAAAATTCATTTTCCTAATTTTCTTTCCCTCTCATTTACATATAGAGTTAAACAATTTGAACCTTGTATTATTTAATTCTTTTTCTTTTCTTTTTCTTTTTCTTTATGATATATTTATATATCAGTCATACTTATTTATATAGTAATAATGCCTTTTTAGATGTTCAAAAGGAAAATATTTAAAATAAAAGAAAATTCAGTGACAAAGTCACTATCATAAAGCATTCCTCTAGTTGTTAACTCATAAAAATTATCAACAAGAATTATTCTAGACGTTCTGACTTGTGTAATTTATTTAATTCCATTTAAAGAAAGAATTCAAGACATGTTAAGACATGAAATTGTTCTTCCAAATGGAATGTCTTAATAAGCATTAAATTGAACAAGTGAACTAGATGATTGAACCTTTAGAATATATAAATAACGCTGTAATCTTCCTATCTTCATTTTTATCTCATTGTTTTCATCTTCTTGTATCCATATAATAAACATATCTTTGATTATAAAAATAATCTTGAATAAAGAAACTCCTTCAACGGTGAAGAAATAAAAGGGGCTAGTCTTCATACTAATTTCGTGTACAATTATTTTCTTTATTTATTTTTTCTTCTCTCTTAGCGAGGTATTATTTATCGAAACGTTAATTATCGAGGTATTGTTTAATAAGGAATAGTTTCGAAAGTAAAGCGTATATATATATATATATATGTTTGCGACTCGAACATCTCACAATATTGATTATATTCGGAAAGTATTTTACCTTATGTCTTATCTTCACCCGAGGTTTGATCTGGGGTTTCTACCCCTTTGTATATTAGAACTCATCAAAGGCTTGTCCCATCTGAATCTGATAGATAATTAATAATCATCATACGGCTTTTTGAGATCTGTAATAACAAAGTATTTTTATGTTACATCATCATAATTAGGATACGTGCTACCAAGAATGCGCTTGAATTTTTCCAATGACCAGCTCCACCACGATGCATAGATGTTTCAAAGTAATTATGGGCTATAAAAATTGTGCCAATATTTGAATGTCTTCCTTCCACTTCTAAAGAACTCCCTAACCTTTTGTTGAAATGTTATATAGGCTCATCGGCAAAATCATCAAATACTATAACAATCCTTCGACCTGTTTTTTTTGAAGATTGAAGTATCTGGAAGTTCTTCGGGTCCAATCATAGTGAAAGTTACATACACCTTCAAACCAAGGGGCATGTTTACTAATGGTTATAAATTCATAAAGCTAGCGTATTAGTATAGTTTCCTTCGTCTTGCGGTTTTACAACAACAATTAGATCATCACAAAGAATATATTTTTCACCATGATTTATTTTTTTAGATATTTTATATCTACGTTTTCCATCGAATATAATTGCAGATATTTATTAGCGAGTAATTTAAATTCACAACCATGGATTTTTTTCCAGATTCGGAGTACCTGCCACTAGTAATCGAAAGGGCCACTTTGAAGTGTAAGGGTTTTCTTTATTCAAGGGTTCAGGATTATCTACTTACGTAGAAGAGATGATTTGTTCTCGCAAATCTAGATTAATAATAATAATATATTATTGTAGCATAGAAATATTTGCCCTGATCGGGATGTAATGTGATTTGGATTTCAGGTTTGAGGTGGTTTTTAAATAGTAAATCCCAATAACACTTGCAAGATTTTCTTGCGCGAAAATAAACTTTGGGTCTGCTTATAAATATAATCTTAAGAGCAAACATATTGATGAAATCGAAATCCATTATTATACCCATTACCAGTACTGCAGGTCATTTATATACTTTTAGTTGTTATATAAAAGTCACGCTTCATTTTTTTCGAAAATCTTGGAATGATTGATAAGCAATTAATATTATCACTGAAATTACTATTACTATTGTAATAAACGTGTGCTATAACGAATTTTTGACATTTCTGCTCCACAACAATAATAACAAAAAGTTGGAATAAACGGGGTTCTGTGCATCACATAGAAAAAGAAAAGCTTCTATTTTTCTAATTTATCAAAAATGAACTTTATTTTTACCTTGAGTTGATTGGATATGATTTCAATGTATTCGTTTCAACATTTTTGGTTTTAGTAACTCCAATATATGTCTTTTTCATCAAATCAATACTTTCTGACTCCCAACGACTCAACCTTCATGTGGATGTCATTAATGTAAGCACCGGTTCACATGAATAGAAGCAGTATGTACTTGCAGCAGCCATTCAAGATCCAAAATATGCACATTAGGGAGTAAAATAATTTTTACGCCCATCACTATCTGACTTTGATTAGCATATTAATAGAATACTTACTCTCCGTCTCATGACTATAAAAAAAGCAAAACTGATATTCGAAAATTCTTTACCAATAACCTTGCTATCAAGTCAGATATGAATTCGAAAAGAATCTTTTGAAAAAATTTCGTGAATGCAGCCAAGCCTGTTTGCAAAAATAATGTAAACTAGGAGATAAGAGCAAAACAAAAAAAAACGCGAGAGAAGACGCAAAGAGAAAGAAAAATTATTCACTCAATCATGTTCTGGGAGAGAAATGTCATAACCAGAATACTTGTGTTTTATAGATGTTTGATGTGTCGACTAACTTGTACATTTTTTCTTCCCTTCACCAATTGTTACCTACCAATTCATCTTCTTATTCGATATATTTTTAAACGGAGACATATAAATATAAAATTAGTCTGCTGAAATAAATATAAAATATCTAATATTTAATTAATAATGGATTTATATTAGCATATTAAAATTATGCAATCAATACTGAAAAAAAGCAAATCTCGCATAACAGATATTGCATTCGCATATAATAGTGGCAATTCAAACCGTGTTATCACGTAATGCAGATCAATCCTTTATGCCTTCTTGGCATAGAAAACCTTATTATTCACAGGATTAATTTGACTCGTACTTTTTTAATTTACGTAAAAAAGCAATAAATTCACATAAGAATTTCAGGTTTAATTTTCACGCACAACATATCCAAATATCCGGTGAATTTCGATCAAAAGAAGACCTCAACAACTTACGAAGATCTTGTTAACCCTGGATATCCACAACATATACTCATTAGACACTTTAGCAGATTGATTGATAACAAAACATGCAACGTTAGTTTGATTTCCTCTTATTTGTCATAACGAACCATCAAAAAGATACACGAAATGCATCAGAAGATAAGTTTCCTTCAATATCAAGTATTATAACATTACGATTAAACAAAAAAAACTGGTTTAAAACTTCAAACAATAAATTTATGGATTTCGTTTGAGCCAAAATCAGAGCCAGAACATAGACCAGAGTATCTTCAGGTTCCCAATCCCATTAGGTTGGATGTCAGAAACCATAGATTCATGGGAATAGACATGGGTTCATTGATTACCATTTGATTTGAGAGGCAGAACAGTTATACAATTATTGTATTGATAAAAACCAGTTGTGAATGCGCTTGTGTCATAAACTGGTTTAACTGCAGTTATTGAACTCAAAAAGAAAGTAGATGATGCACACATGAAACAAATCGTAACAGAGATGTCATTTGCTGATTGCTGCCGGAAACAGAACTTCAAGTCTTTGGTGTTCTAGACAATCAGTGGCTATTTAAGAAACAATTTTTCTGGTTTGCAAAGCAAATTAGTGAAAGTATAATCCAATCTGGCTTTATTCTTTTAAGCTTAGTGTCAGTTTTACATTTTTGGAACGGTATAATTGTAATACTTCAAAATCAATTTTATGCGAACCGTTTATCAAAAAAAAATTTTTTGAACAATAATAATATTGTCATTTCTTAATATATACTCGATTAATTCGTTATTTCTTGTGGACAGTTCAATGTAGCATGTTTGAATAAGCACGGCAAAATTTATCACTAACGCGTGAAGTGGCTATGAGAAGAACATATTGAAAATGGAATAGTTGGATCGGAAGCTCTTCATATTTGGAAATTTCATGTCATGAAATATCAACAAAGAATGATTTGATGTTGATGTCATATTAAATAGAGTAGAGAGAGGGTTAAGAAATGTTCTCATTTGGTTCATCTTCTATTACCATTTATTTTTTTTTTTTTATAAGAGTTGTTTTTTATGCTAATGATTTTAATTTGTATACATCTAATAATAATAAACATTTCAAAATTGGGATTTGAGACTTAGGATTTTGACATTGTTTAAAGTTGGAATTGGAACTCGTCTCTTTTGAGTTCGAGCTGCAAAAATATTTATGTCATTCATTGTCTATAGAAAATCTATATCTTTCAACGAAGCTTTAAACCTAGAACCAAAGGACCAAGAAATTTGCGGCATTGTCTACTGTTTTGTTCTATGCTTATTTCTCAACCAAATCTCTATGGATAAAGCAGTGAGCCTTCTTCCTAATATATTTTTACTCTTCATGACCACATCACTCTCCCGTACATAATGCAAATGTGATTTGATTCCACCTGTTTGAAACAATCAATACTTACAATTAAATTGCCATTTTCAAATTTAAAATCAATTCAACACATCCATTTATTCGCGAATTGCATTGATCATTGATTTTTCATGATAGATATGGAATAATTATTCAAAAAATAACAAAAACTAATTATTCGGTAATCTTCTATTAGAAATCATAACAAAAAATGTTTATTATTAATAAAATAAATAAATAATAAAATAATTATAGCTACCCAATACATACATTCTTGAAAATAAATACATATATTTAACAAAAAATACAAGCATGATAATAATGATACAAGTAATAATTAAAAAAAAGGGGACAATTTTAACACCTTAAAGCCAATTCCTCGACAACTTTTCCAATATTACCATTATGAGCTTTCAATAATTTAATCATTTCTCCTTCATCTCCCCAAAATCCCATTTCGCAAAGTTGTTTAACTTTATCATCAAAATTCGATTCATCAACCGAAACTTTTCTTGGTGATGGTGATAACGGTGTATTAACTATGCATATTTCTTCGAGTGATGGGCCATGATTATTTCTACTGCCACCAATATTTTCAATGCTTCTAGAATTACGCGATAAAGGATCTCGATGATTCACATTATCACTATTATTTGATGGAGTGGATGAAGTGAAGTAAAGAGGACTAACATATTGATATAATAATGGATGTTCAGACATGAAAGCAGCAGAAGAAATGGTGCTATTATCATTATTGTCACTGCTTTCCCGCTTCTGTTTTTCTTGACGATAATAAATTAAGCATTCACGCCAAAGTTCGATATCAATTGGCTTAGATTGTAAAATTTCATCTGTAACACTATCTATAGCGTAAGCTAACACTGGATAAAAATCAACAACATCCTGAAATTGTGATACCATGGTTTGAAACCTTTGTACCTGTTCAATTGTAGAAGTTGATGTAGGAGTAGGAGTAGCAGTAGCAGTAGTAGTAGTAAAAGTAAAAGTAAAAGTATCTAGATTTTCTTTACTTTCTTCTTTTTGTGCTTCTCGTTCACGCTGTTGTTGTGCTTCTCTTTCACGTTGTTGTTGCAATTCATATTCTATACTTTGCCTTATTTTATTTTCTTGTTCTTTTATTTTTTCTTTTCGTCGAATAATGCTAGAATCATCATCATCATTATCGTCATCATCGTCATCACCATCATCATCACTACTAAAAGGATTTTTTAACAGCAATTTCTTTGAATTGTCTCGTTTTTTCTTTTTCTTTTTGTTTTTGTTGAAATCCTTGGGATGATGACGATTCATCATTGATGTCCATTTTCTCTAAATCGAGAAGAAGAGTTTTATTATTAGTGGATCCCGCAGTATTTACTACAACTTCATGCTCTTTTCTATTTTTAGGAATGTCATCAAAAGACATCCAACATTCATCATCTACATCAAAAATACTCTTATTGTTGTTGTTGTTGTAGATTTTGTTTTTATCATCTTCAAAAGGATCCTTATGATTATTTTTGTTTTTGGTTTTGTTTTTGGTTTTATTTTTTGTTTTGGTTTTGGTCTTGGTTTTGGTCTTGGTTTTGTTTTTGGTTTTGATTTTTTTATCATCTTCATCAAAAAGATTCTTATAATAATTGTTGTTGTTATCGTTGTTTTCGTTTTTATCATCTTTTGAAGAAGAAGAAAAAGTGTTTTTATTGTGTGGTGTAGTTGGTGTCTGTGGTTCAATAATAATAGAGGAAGTAGTTGAATGTTCTTCTTCTTCAATTACATTTAATGTAAATTTAATGGTGGTTGCGCCATGGTTAGAAAGAAGTTCTTGTAGTTCCAAATCAGTTGATATTGTAATAATATCATCCTCTTCGTCAGTATAAGAAAGTGTGAATTTTGAAGTTGGTGAAAGTGTAAATAGCATACGAATTTTTTCCTCTAAATCAGACCATTTAGCAGAGTTTGATATAGAGAATTTACGTAAAATAGAATTGTGAAATATTTTTATGTTTGTCATTCTTTACAATTTTACAATTGAGAAAGAGAGTGAGAAAATGAAAATGAAAAAACCCAAAAATAAAATAGGATATGTTGTCCTTGTAAAATCTTCCTTAAAAGTTGGTCGATTGACTATTTTACTTTGCAGATCGTTAAATTGACCAATAAGAATGCAAGATCGTGATCAAAAAATTATTTTGTGTTACCATTAAAGAATAAGAGATAATATCCAATTAATAAGGATAATATTTGTTAATAAAACGAAGTCAATACATAGTTAAAAGGTGACTTAAATGATAAAATAAATAAATAAAATAAAATGATAAAAGTGACAAACACTTCAAGTGGAAAAAAATATACAATTCAAACAAAATCCTGACAAAAAACAAAAATTAGGATATATATAATTCAAGAAAACGAACAAAAAAATCAGACACTTACAAAGAAACAGAATCTACTAATACATTCAATGATAATAAAACTGCCTTCCTTGATGATGTTGATATGAATGAGACTGTGGAAAATAATGATAAAGACTTTATTGTTATCACAAAACAGACTTCATTCATTGCAGCACCCTCATGAAAAAATCATCAATATAGGAATAATTTTTGTTAAAACTGCATGTTTTACTAGAGCCAGTACTCGAACCATCAACAAAAAAAAATACATGGCAAATTTTTTTGATAACCAAACTGATCTCAACTTAGCAATTTAAATAAAAATCATCAATTTGTTGAAATCAGACAATTAGAACCGAACCAACCAATGAACAAACAATGACATTAATGCATGCTCAATTCAGTATGTGATGTTCCATTTGATATCAAAATCCCTATTATTCGTTCAACATTTTCTAGATTTCAAATTGTCAGTAAAACACATGGTTTATATTAACATTTTTTATTACCTTTGCAGAAAACTAAGACATTCAGGAATTCCATGCAAAAACATGGTCTGTATATATTCTCAGAGACTCTACTTGTGTTATTCCCTTAATGTTCTCTATGCAAAGTAGCATAGATAAAAAATCCGATTGGCTATTATTGTATCATAAAAATCAAGTGAAATTACCCAATGAAAATCATGCATGCAACTTTTCAATTTTTTATTAAATTTATTTTCGTTTATTTTTATTACTTGTCTAAATCCTTCTAAAAAAAATTTTTCTTTTGTCAGGACTGATTAGATTGACAAGAGGATTGATTTCACAGCTTATTTTCGCCAAAAACTAATTATAATTATATTGATATACTTAACAATCATATAATATAGAGTTTATATAATATATATCTTGATTACCACATACTATACAAGGACCAAAATTTTTTTGGCTTACACCTTTATTCATTTTATTAATGACAACTGATAGCTATAAATGTT